ACCTTTAGGAATAGGCTATATGTCATTGAAGTAGGTAAACCAGGGTCTCAAATATATATACATAATGTAATGAATAGTGTATGACTGTTACCATAAAACAATAAGTTATATAATATAGTTTAATAAGTGCATAGTCTATAACTGGTTAAAAATGAAAAAGTGTCCAAATATGTTTTCTAGAGTTCTATATATTGTTAAGATATTATAATTTTGTAAAATATTTTCATATACATTGAAAGTCTGAATAAATTATTTAATAAATAAAATACATCATCATTGAACAATGGAATAATGGTCTAAATCTCTCTCTCCCTTCCCTCTATTTATTGCTTATTTATTAACCCCCTCCCTCCCCATCTAAGAAATATCAAGAGTAACAATGGGGATGAGATATTGAATATCTCCACATGGCCATTTCCAAGGCTATAATGCTAAATATGCTTTAATAATGCTTTCATTCATCTGAGTTCAATCATAAATATTTACTTTCATAGTTTACATTGTGTAAAGAAGAAGTATTTTAGAGACAAAGCAGTTTAATTCAATATAATAATAATACAAGAAATGGACAAAAGTACATGTAATTGTAAAATCAAAATGTATTTCTGTTTGAGTACATATAGAATATAAAAATTAATGTTAAGAATTGCCTTTTTCCCATTCAGTACTATATTGTGTCACATTAAAGCAGACCTAAAGCAGCTTCCTATCCAAAATATTTTCAATACTTTATTAGTGAGAACAAATATCCTGTTGTTCAGTTTAATTCTGAAGAATGTGTCAGTGTGGTTATAAAATATATGAGACTAAATTTAGTTAATTTGAGAAAAGACCTTTATTGGGGAAAACATTGAGGCTATTTTTGGACATTTTAAAAGTTGAAAGTTAAAAGGTTGATAAAATAACTTTATAATTAAATATATGACTTGTTGTGTTAATTCATGATCATGAAGCCTGTAAAACTTTCTTTAAAAACTAAATAAAAACAGTTTGATTTTCATCAGAAGATGACATTGTTTCTTTTCCCTGCTACTAGAAATAAACAAGCCCTTTATCAACCTTTGATGAGAAGACAAATTGCCTAAGTCATCATTTTGGAAATTTTGCTGATAAAAATTAGGAAAAAGCAAGTTTTTCAACAGGGAAATCTTCCTAAATTATTGAAAAAAAAATTATTGTACTCTACCAAAAAAAACAACAACACACTGTGACACATATATCTTTAACAAAACCGGAATGAACTTAATCAATAACTAACTTTATTGCATTTGATATTTCCAAATTTCAGTTTGATTATGAATTTTATTAAAGATTGGGAAAAAATAAGCATGATTATATGTCTTACAGTATTTTCATTTTGGAATCTGCTTGATAGAGCTAAAATAATTATCAATGTATCTGGAAACTATTTAAATACACATTAAAAAAACTTTTTGACTAATTTTACACAAGATGAGCCAAAATATTTTAAGGACACAAGCTTAGCAAAAAATGTACATTGTCCTAGGATTTTAAGAAAAGTAAAATTCAAGTTTTTAGTAATATTTTTTATGACAGTTGTGAACAACTGATGATTGATTTTTCAGTATCATCACCATATTTCACTATATTTCTACTGTATGACTAATGCAGTAAAGCTACAGTCTCACTTACATCCCGGCAGAGCCCCGTAGACAACTTGGGTACAACCGTAACTCTGCCGGCAACATCCTGGATGATCCGGGAACATTCGACCCCGGATAGAATAAAATATTTAATATCACTGGGGTGGTTCGGGATGATCCGGGAAGAATAGCTTTGCAGGCTTTATCCTAAGCTCTGCTCTGTAAGTGTGACCACAACAATAATTTCACCCCGGATTATCCCGGTAACTTACCGGGATGGTCCTGGGCTCTGCCGGGAGTAAGTGAGACCGCAGCTTAAGGACTTTTTGCATATTTTGACCTCTTTCTAGTGTGGTGGACGATATGTTACACTTTTGCATGTTGCGTTGTTGTTAATCGCCTTTTTTTCCTGGGCGCTACAAAACATGCCAGACTGTGGCACGTTGTCCCCATGTCTCTTGGCTTATAACGAGGGAATGACTTCTTACTGTGTTATCACATGGCTTAATTGAGTCGTTGTCGCCAGCAACAAAGCAGATTTAAGCCTCAATAAGCTAATTTTTCAATTTGAGCCAAGCGACAATGTGTCATGGTGCCACATACTGCGAAACAACCTGCCATGATTTGGCTTGTTTTTGCTAGTGACATGACAACAAGATATCAAGGCCTGAGCAATCTTGACTTTTTCGTTTAGGAAAAATAATTGTTAAAAAGCAGAACAGTGCATGAAATATGGAATGAACAAAATACATTCTTTTATATGACTTCGTTCCTTTGTTTTGCCAATTTTCATATCAGATAATGGTTTTATACACAAAACACAACAAAAACACAAAAAGTCATGCAAACTGTTTAACTGACAGTGGCACAAAAAGTTAAATGCATTATCATACCTTCTTCATCATGATAAGTTCAGCAAGAGAATTCTCTAAGGTGATATATCCTTTCAGTCTGTAAATCTTTAATAAGTCATGTGGTTATTGACAATTACACGAAAACGCACACATATGTGTTGATCGAAATAAAATTCACTGATCAATCACAAAGTATACAGCCTCATGTTTGTCTTTCAAGGGATCTCCCGCTGCGTACTGGTCTAGTCCTATAACATAAGACGTTTCCGTTCATACGTTGGAGTGTACGTAGTATGAACGGAAACGTCTTATGTTATAGGACTACGTACTGGTCCAGAATGACTTCGTAATTTTATCTATAATTGTCCTTCAAGTTTATTCTCAGTATTAACCTAAGCATGATCTTCATTCAATCGGTTTAAAATGACATTTTGTATCATGACTTATCCGAATTATCGACACTGACAGCTGATTTTTAAAACTGTTTATTTCCGGCTCTGGAAAAGTTTGTTTCCGTTTCCCGTCACAACGCAACATAAAGAAATATCGTTGCCATCATATACAACCGATTATAGTCTATTTCGAAGCAAAAATGAACAAAAGTTGAGACGAAGCGTACAAACGGCAGCCATTTTATTTCTGGTTAACATTTGGTTAAAATTTAACCCACCTCCTATACGTGGGTTAATTTAACCAGAAATTTACGCTGGTTAAATTTAACAAAACTTTTATACAATCGGTTAACCAAAGTTTAACCCAAAAGTTAACCTAACCATGGATTTAACCCAGTGGTTAAAGTTAACCAACGTTTATACAATTGGGTGCAGATAAACAGGACAAATTACTTTCACACATTATGGATACTTTAGCAACTACATTTTTAATAAACCCCATGGCCGTGCGATTAGCCGCTATGCTTAATTATTTATGTTTCATACATTTTGTAACGTACATTGGCAGACAATTTCTTTATTTATCAAAAAGTCTAAATAAAAGGTAGACGATACAATTTTGATATATTCGTAAAACATGTACGATATTTGTACGATATATTAATTACGAGTAGTATGGACAAGTATGGACCGGTAATTCACGGATATATGGACCTACCGATTTCCCTAGTTTGATGCCTCAACAGGGGCGGAGCGTTATCGATAATTGACAGGTTACGCGAATAGCAGATAAAAAATGGTGTCGGTACCGTTTTTTAAAAGTTTAAAACAATTTTTTTGGACTAGCTGCTTCCAAAATTAAATCACGAATGTGTTCAGAAAAGGTTGATAAATCTAATAAGCAAAAAATCTCATTTTAGGTATTTTCAGTGATAATTGACTCCGTTGTCACCTTAAGAATGCTTTGGTCAGCAGTCTTCATATTTGGTTTCGTGGTTGGTTATGACTAGTAGATGACGCCTTTCGATATTAAGGTGACTGTGTCAAAGGTCGAGGTCACTTTCGGATTTTACAACAATAAGTTTGTTTCCTCAAATGCTAAAGAATGCCTGTTATAAGTGTTTTGGTTTTGACATTTTCACATTTGAAACATTAATTATGTTCTCATATATTCATCATAAAACACCCCTAGGCAAAGCTACATGAATGGGGTATTTAAGTCTTGCAGTGGCTGTTTCAGTTGTGAGGTCAAAGGTTTAGTTCACTTTGGTCTTTGCCACAAAAAAATGTAAAATACATAATTTAGCAATGCACTGGCTTTTTACCCTCAGATTTGGCGTGGAAGTTATCCTTGAGCTTTAAATGACCACTTATTCTGACCAATTGGTATGCGGGGTATTCATGCAATGACAGTGGTAGTTCTAGTTATATCAGAACGTATTTACAGATTTTTAAGGCAGATGTTCTTGTAATCATGCATATGATAACAGGATCAGAATTAAGAATTTCTAACAGGAATAAAAAATGGATTGTGTTAATTCAACAAATATTTATACTTTTTTGTTTTTGTTTAATGAAAACACTTATGCAGTGCACGAGTGAGTAAGTTCAGCAAATTGTATCAAGAGTTAAGATATTTTGCTATTTTATGTATGGACATTATCTTCTTCTAAGATCAAGATACCTACAAGAACAACAAATATCTTTAAATCTAGCTATTGAGGTAAAGTATTTTGCCTGTCACTAAATTCTGTATCTCTTAGTGTCAATGACTCTGACCATTTTTCAAACAACCCCGAGGTAAACAAAATCCCCAAGGAACACCAAATACTACAAAATCGAAAATGTATTAGTTTCATTGTTTATTAACGTTACTGGATTGTGCGCGAAACCGACCAAGCAGGTTTTGTCCGGGAGCGGCGTCCTGTAAACGTTGCCATTGCCTTGTTGACCTTTTTTCAAGTTATTTGTTTGCAGAATTCAACATTTATATGATATTTTTAATTTAATTTAAATCGACCACATAATTAATGAATAAAATAACCTTCATGAAACAAGTCTTATGCACCGTATTCAGTTTATCTGACGGAAATAAAAGGTGTATGTATGCCTGATGTAAATAATCTGTTTGTTTGAATTATTATTTTTAGGAGGCACAGCGGACATCACTGTTCATGAAAAAAGGCCAAACAATACTTTGCTTGAGATACATGAACCGATAGGTGGGCCATGGGGAGGGACAGAAGTTGACAAAAACTTCATTAGACTGTTTCAAATGATCTTTGGTGCGTCTGAATGGGAGGAATACAAACAAAACGAGTTAGAAGATATACTTTACATGTATAGGGATTTCGAAGCGAAGAAACGAACTGTACAGTTAACATTATCAAAACAGATGATTCTAAAAGTGCCACCGAGTTTAAAAGAATACTACGAGCGGAATGGAAAGAGATCAATTGCCGAAATTGAGCATCTATTTGACAGAAATATAGTATGGCAGAAAGACAAATTGAGGATCGATGCATCACTTATCAAGAAATGCTTTGAGGGACCGGTCCATGAGATCATTTATAATGTGGAGAAGCTATTATCAAAGAAAGGGATGAAAAACGTCAGTAAAATAATTCTTGTTGGTGGTTTCTCTGAAAGCCAATATGTACAAGAGAGCTTTAAAGCGAAATTTGCTAACAAGCAAGTTATCGTACCGGCTGAATGTGGACTTGCTGTTTTAAAAGGGGCTGTTCTTTTCGGGCAAAATCAATCAATAGTTACCGCACGAATTTCACGATTTACATACGGTCTGGAAATTTCTATTCCATTTGATGCTACAAAACATCCCGAGGAAAAGATGATTGATTCAGATGTCGGTACACTTTGCATGGATTCATTTTGGAAAGCAGTTGAGATCGGAGAAGAGATAAAAGATGGACAAGAGGTAGCACGAATCGGGAAAGCAGTAGATGATTGTCAAAATCACATTAAAATGCGCATTTTCAAATCAAACAAACAGAACCCGATTTTTACAACAGATGAAGGATGTGAGCTGATTGGAGAAATTGCAGTTCCGATGGATTGTACATTAAAGGCTGTTGACAATGCCGTTGATGAAATCTTCATTTTTGGGGGCACAGAGTTGAAATTTAAAACCAAACACAGATTGCGTGGAGATATACATGAACTTAATATTGACCTTTAATTGACTACACAAAGACTGAAAAAGGTTGGAACAGAACTGTGTTCTGTGATTAAAACAACACTTAAACGCACATGACTTGTTATATAAAGTTGTTACAATTGATGACTTGTGAGAGTCGAAGTATGATAAAATTGAATATTTTCTTATTCACTATTTAATATCTGGAACAAATATTTTTACACACGTTTGTACACAAAAATTTCAAATATACCAGTCCAGTTTATAGTTGGTCTTATTTTTGAATAAAAAAGTATGATCGCAATAGTTTTCATTCTAAAAATTTTGCCAAACAATATTCCTGAAAGGTTTTTATCGTTGATATAGAATGATATACATGTATATGTATTGATGGTACACGAACAAAAGCACAAACGTGTGTTTTTGTTTCACATAAAAGCCTAGTTTCGTGCTAAAGAAAGTTGAATTTTTTCCAGTAATAAATGGCGTATGATTTTGAGTTATTTAGAGGTTAATACGTGGTTGCTGTACACCATTATGCGATTATGGCATGACGAAGTGAATAATGACCTGAGGGTCGCAGGCCCGAAGTTCATTATGAACTCGAGGGCCATTATCGCATAATGGCGAGCATCAACGTCTTTAGTACCCATATCCGAAATTTAACTTCGCCACTAATATTGGTTGTCGCCCTTTATACGAAGCAGTCAGTTTTTAATGTAAGCAAATATATGTCATACTGTACAGTTTAACACTCCGATTGACTTAGAAAGCAAGACGACACAAAATGAATATAAGAAAATGTTGTTTTATGGTTGTTTTTATCGATAAATACAGAATCCTACTCTTAATTTTTTGTGACAAATTTTTATGAAGTTTTGAGCCTTCAAGAACGGTTTCTGAGACTATTTGGTCTAAGGGCGAACAATCCGACCTTTTCGTACAGTCAGTCTAAAATCATTTTTGTAATTTCTGAGGATCACGTATTGTCTTGATTTATAAATCTTCAATGATAAGCTTTGCTGATTGTGATTAATTATGTCATTTAAACTTTAAAGAAATGTGTGCAATTGACTTCAGTTCATTCAACGCCAGCAGCCATATTGAAATTCATTGAGAGTTGATAACGTCAGTCTGCACGTGCGCTCATTCACTCACCCATTATGGAAAATTAATGCCGAGTAGCAAGGTGGCCAATCTTGCATAATGACGTAGATCTTGCCTGAATGGCCCTGAAATACCCTAGATTTTGTTACTCAATTCGCCATATTGAAATAACTAGTATATCATTTATCACCTAAGAAAATTTAATCGTTGTAAAAATAGATTGTGACAGTGTTAAATCTATAATATTAAATGTAATGCTGATATTCAAATCTAGTTTGCATAATCATAAACAAACTCACATGTAATACAGAAAACCGACAAAATTCTTAACAAACAAAGTTTATAAATATACTTAACTAGGAAGCAACCTTTAAAAACAGTTGGTGATAAAAACCTTCATAAAATCATCGAGCTATTTATAAAAGCTTTGTCTCAACGGTCTGATTCAAAGAAGTGATACATGTGTGTAGTTAAAATCAAGAACCACACATTTGTGTGATTTATGTTCATATTATTGTTATAACAAATGTGCGATTTAAAATCATCAGGATAATTTAACATGTTGCATTCCCAAGCGCAAATGATTGGCATTTGTTTTCACACCACGTTACAGTACGTCGGACACTAACGCCGTTAGGTTATAATGGACACACACAGAAATTGTGTAATAACTAATACTGAAGAATGTACACAAAAGGCGAATAGTTTGATTATTCATTGTGTAAAATTGGTTGTGTATGGTTTGACTTATATTTAAGCATTTATTTAATATTTAATTTTTGTGTTTTTTTTTTTCTCTCTCACAAAATAAGTTAGTATAAGTTTAGACCACAGAAGATTGTATAGCAGTTTCTTTTTGTCTGACTATAATGTTATTAAAGCTCGTCTGTGGCCTGATGGTTTATGATTTGACTTCATAGATCTAGCCCCTCTGTATGTTCGATACTGGGCAGTAGTAGGCTCATTCCCAATTAAGTACGACATTTGATGTCGCTTTTGTCTGGCTGGATATATTTTGACCATGTAATGATCAATCATAAAATTCTATGTATTTTTTATAAGGATGACCAAAACAGTAAATTAATAATGCAAGTTTAATGACACATCGAACTGTTTTATATGATGAAATACTCTTTATCTTTTTTGGGGTTTAAAATTCACCATGCCGGCATCACCATGCATCGTTATTTAACATTTATAATAACTGCATATTTGGTTTATTTCATGTAAAAATGTTTAGTTTCAATAGGCACATGTTCTATCTTACAAAAATTTAACATTTTCCTTTACTATCCATGGAATGTAAAAAATCGTACTAATGTATAGGCTATGTCGCCAAATTCAGCCAAACTCACTGGATAATATTTCTTGGTGTGACCTTTTTGAAGTATGAAATCACTTAAAAAGTGTTAGTTTTGACCATTTATTCTAGTTATGCTAACTATTTGTCCACAATGATACGGATTTTAAGATTTTCAATACTTTTGTTTCCAAACCCACTCGACATTATTGAACGAATGACCGTGATTTTTGAGCGATAACGTAAAGGTCGATTCTTTGAACACACGCGTCCGTCAGATATGCATAGTGATCTAAGTGCCATATATAGATTAAGAACAGTATGATAATAGTTTAACAAATTGTAGTTATCTCAAGTAATTCAGAGACAAAAATCACAGTAAATATAAATATTCATATGAAAAATAACGTACGAGGTATAATGTTCGGGATAAATGTTTTTCAGAATACTGAAACCCCTTGCGTTTCTCTGTGTTTTATTCGTCTTTGGATTCATTTTACACAAAACTAGTTGCCCGGATGTTGTGAAAGTAAACGACCGCCATATTTACAAAAATGTGATACTATGAAGCTTTATTTTGAATGCACTTAGAAGGTAAGTTAAAATTGTCATTATTGTGACAAAGGTAAATAATTATAATAGTTATAGTTTTGTATGCAGGAAGGTTGTTTAAGCTGTACATCATCATAATACATGTAATGTTTCATGCAACATTTGTGTAGGGGAGACTGGGGTACTCTGGGACATGGGGCACTGTGGGACTATGGGATTTTTTGATACCTTTTGTTCTTTGATTTAAACCTGATTCATGCTGATGATTGATCTTGTCAAGCTTCTTTCCCTACAAAAGTTTCATGGCGGCAAATTGAGTAAAAATCAGTCTGGCGAGTACTATGTTCTTTTTACCTTTCAAAGTGAAATTCTAGAAAAGACACATATTGTTTTCAAAATCTTCTATATTGAATACTCATTTGTATCATATTAGTAATGGATAATGTGCTAAACATTGCCTATATTTTCTGATTTGAAATAAATCTTGCTTTGGTTGTCTTTTTAAATTATTGTCACATAAAAATTGTGGGGTTAGTTGGGGTACTCTGGGACAGTGGATTCCATACACTCTGGGAAGTGTACCACATTCTGTTTCAGATCACAAGTACAGACTATTGTTATATTAGGGACTATGGGATTTTTTGATACCTTTTCTTCTTTGATTTAAACCTGATTCATGCTGATGATTGATCTTGTCAAGCTTCTTTCCCTACAAAAGTTTCATGGCGGCAAATTGAGTAAAAATCAGTCTGGCGAGTACTATGTACTTTTTACCTTTCAAAGTGAAATTCTAGAAAAGACACATATTGTTTTCAAAATCTTCTATATTGAATACTCATTTGTATCATATTAGTAATGGATAATGTGCTAAACATTGCCTATATTTTCTGATTTGAAATAAATCTTGCTTTGGTTGTCTTTTTAAATTATTGTCACATAAAAGTTGTGGGGTTAGTTGGGGTACTCTGGGACAGTGGATTCCATACACTCTGGGAAGTGTACCACATTCTGTTTCAGATCACAAGTACAGACTATTGTTATATTAGGTACATTAGAGTTACATTATATGCAGGGTAGACTTTGATTATATAGTATTAATAAATGAATTATCTTCATGTTTTGGCAAAACAAAATTTTGGACAAGAACTTCTAAAAGGTTGAACTGACCTTGACCTTTAAATGACCTTGACCGTCATGGCCAAGTTATTGAATTTAATTTTGATTGTCATATTTTTTTTTATTATGGAAGAATTTGATTCATATGTGGACATAACAACACTTGTGATCAAACAGACATATGGAATAATTTAGATAATTTTATGTTCTTGACCTTTAAATGACAATGAACGTCAAATGAATTAATGAATTTAGATTATATTTTCCCAACTTTGTCAATCATTTATGGAAATGATTCATGCTTGGACAAAACAAGTGTGACCATACGCACCTATCAAAATTGAAATAAAAATATAGAATTTTCAACAGAATTCCTAAAGAAAGCCAAACATGGCAAAATTGAAAATGTTGCAGGCCCAGTTTGATTGAGCCTGTTCATAAACAGTAATGGAATGTGCAATTGACTGCCCACAACCCCGCCCCCACAGGCTAAAGCAGAATTCCACATTTAACATGCACTGGAAAAATTTAGATTTTTGAAACAACTGCAGATTCTCATTTCCAGTAATTTTGTACTTTCAATGTAATTATACATATTGTCCTAAGTACCCAAGCATGTCCCACTGTACCATATATGGTGTCCCAGAGTGACCCTAACTCGGGGCACTCTGGGACATTTTAATGACCGTATTCTAATGCATATCTCTAAGTCAACTTAATTATTTTAGGTTCAGTTAGTTATCTGTTACATCCAGTACATATTGTCCTTTTCATCCACGAAAGAAAGCATCAGTCCTTAAGATATGTTAAGTAGGAGATTGAAAATTATGATTTTTGTCCTAGAGTGCCCCAGTCTCCCCTATTTTGACAACATATTTTGTCTTGTTCGTAACATGTTTTTTTCCCGTATGTTACTATATTGTTATGGCTTCTCTAAAAGAGAAAGAAAGCGCTTCCAGGTGGACAGTGGTTGAAAGCAGAACGAGAAAGAGTCAAAAAGGTCTCGAATACCTAAAAGAGAAAAGAATTTAGAGAACATTAGCTAGATTATATCGCAGGATAGAAACTCCTGAAAACAAAAATAAGAATAAAAGAAGAAATTGAAAACTTCTCAAAAAAGACTTCAGCGCTATACAGCTAAGAAAGACGTCACGACACCGAGGAGTAAAAGTGTTAAGTTATTGAAAATTTATGGGTTGAAAGCAGACGATGTGCCTAAAA